TTGTTGGGGGCAATATGCTGACTCTCTGTAAACCGCTTAGAGAGGGCTGAAAGCCCTATGAAGCGGTATATAAGTCTACTGCTATTGCTATTACACTCTCTCTCTCTCTTTCTTTCTTTCTCTCTCTCTCTGAGTGCCCCTCCCCCAATCACGTGGGGTTACTGTCCTGTCCATCCCTCCCATATCTTCTGCCTTTTGATTCCTTCCTGGCAAAGAGGCTGCGGTTTTCTGACCCACCACAAATAGCAGAAATACCTGTGTGGCGGGCTCCTCCCTCTCGCTCCCAGCATTTAGGGGGCAGGGAGGAGTCTTGCTTGCCTTTTGTAATGCAACCCTTCCCTCCCCCCTTACTCCCATTCAGGGTCTTTCTCAGGGAGGGGGGAGATGGAGGGCTCCTTCAGAGCCCATCAATCCTTCTTTCAAGGAGGGGGGGGACGCAACACAGCTGGTCTTAAACTCTTAAACTTTCCACCCCCACCGGGTGGCACAGCAGGGGAACATGGGGCCAGAGCCTTCCCCGTCCCTTACCAGGATTCCAAAGACTGGGTGAAGCCTTTGCAAGACCCCCTTGTGAGTCCCAGCATGTGGCTTTCCACCCCTATCCCCAGAAATGCCCCGCCCATTCACAAGGCAGCGCCCATTACCTGCAAGGCTTTCCTGCATGCAGGTTGTAGCCCAAGAGGGGGAGGGAGGGGCAAAGTCCTAGAGAGGCCTCCTTTTCAGCGACTTCACCCACCTGAAAAATCCCAAGGTCCAAAGTTTGAAACCGCTGACCCAACTGGTCAGAAGTTCCCGCGAATGCTCCTTAAAGTTTCTTCCTCAAAACTTCTTAGGCCACCTTGGGCTTCCTCCCCCCTCCACCCCATTTCTTTCTTTCTGCACCTCCTGGCGGCTCCTGTGCACCGCACAGGAGAGAGGAACCTCCTTGCAAATCGGGTGGGAGGAAGGAGGCGGGAGGGCTCAGGATGATGGGAGAGGAGGAGCAGGGGTGAGATTCAGCCAGTTCAAACCGGTTCGGGAGAACCAGTAGCTAAACTTGTTCTGGACTTCATGCAACTGTCTGAATAGCCTTCCTCCGCCATCCCTCTCCACCTACCACCCTCCCAGGGGGGGCTAAGTGAGGGGCAGGAAGCTCTCCCATGGTTGCGGGGGGGGGGGGAGAAAGCAAGAGGAGCCCCTTTCTCCCCTCACTTCCCCCAGGAGCACTTAGGGACCCTCCTACACACACTTCCTCAGTGGGACTGCCCCTCCCCCAACCACGTGGAGGTCACTGTTCTGGTTGCCCTTCAGGAAAGCTTCTGTCTTTTGAGCCCTTCCTAGCAAAGGGGCTGCCGGGAGAGCAGCCCACCTTTCTGGCTCCCCCCCCACCCCCCTCCAGCATTTTGGGGGCAGGGAAGAGTCCTGCTTGCTTTTGCAATGCAACCCACCCAGCCCCTTCCCCCACTCCCATTCAGGGGCTTTCTCAAGAAATGGGGAGGGGGAGATGGAGAGCTTCTCCCCACAGTCCTGCTTGTATTTTGCAATGCAAGCTGCCCTCCCCTCCCACTCCCCCCAGGAAAGGGGATATGGAGGACTCCGCCTGAGCCCTCTTCCTTCCTGGGGTTGATACTGTTTCTTCCAGAAACAATACGGCTGGTCTGAAACCCTGTTGCCTCCCAAGCCCCCCTCCCCCCACCTTCTAGCACATGCAGGGGAACATGGAACCAGGATCCTTCCCCCGCCCCTTGCTACGATTCCAAAGACTGGATGAGGCCTCCGCAAGACCCCCTCGCAAGTCCTGGCACGAAGCTTTCTCTCCCCTCTCCCAGAAGTGCCCCTCGGCTCCTCCCGGCAGCGGCTCATTTCTTGCAAGGCTCCCCTCCATTTCTGTCCTCTGCAGCGAAAGCGCCCAAGAGGGGGGGGGAGAGATGGCGAGGAGAGCCCGGTCTGCTCCACGCGCTCCAGTGAAAGGCAGCCCCCCACCCACCCAACGCCACCCCCGCTCGCACACGTGCGCAGCCCCGGTGAGGGAGTCCAGGCATGGGAGGGACGCCG